GATTCATCCGACGGTTTCACTTCGTGGAAATTGTCAGCATTAAAATTTGTTCGCTTGACGGTAGGCGAGTACTTTTTTATTTAACCAATCGCTGCTATTTGGTCATGATGTACGTAATGCACCACTAACGGAGCTAACTGGTATATTAAGCTTTTCCCAAATCTCGTAGGAAGAAGGGCAGTAATGTCTTTTTCTGATTGATAAAATTCACCAAACATTCTCTTTGTTCTGGCTTTAAATTCTCAATCTCGGGACTCGTTGCCAACACAGAATGTATGACTCTTCGCTGATTGGCTGATGCCCAGACTCGCACTTCCAGGGTTCTTGTAAACCGTCTAGTGTATTCTGATTCCTGACCTAGTCACTGGAGAGAAATGAAATTGAGTGGAGGCACTAGGTAGCAACAGCCTGGCTATCTCCTAAGAGCCTGGAATGTGAGAATGTTTGCAGTCACAAACAAAGCACTAGCACTTTCCGACCTTGGAGTCTTTAGCAGTATTCTAAGAGCATCATTATTATGCCGTCTTAATCTTATTCATCTTTGGTTTGTTGGAATTACACCATAGATGAGCTGTATACGGGGTAGTACAGTATGATCTAAAAAGAGTCGTTTTGACATGATTTGTGCACATATGGGATTGGTGTGCCAGCATATTCGCTTGTGAATACAGTTTGCAACCCTGATGCTGGATGTCCTCATCATCACAGGAGTCATTTCTAAAAATATGGCCCAAGTATTTTATTTATGATACATTAGTCAGCTGATTCTCCTTTAAATAAAAAGAGGGGAAGCTTAAATTTTGATCCTCCTTAGTCCTGACAATCATGACAACACTGTGCATAGTTCTCCTCTAAAACAGAAAACACTCTGCTCCACCTTGTGATGTCATGTGGTAATTCAGGAAGTGCTCCGTTGTGTTTTTAAACTCCATACACCTTCACTAGAATCATTTGGATGATTTCAGCCTTAGTACTGCCAATCTCTTCTGAATTAAAGGTAAAAAGTAGCTGTTAACTTGAAAACTACTGTTACATGACATCACAAGGTGGATCAGATGATTTTGAGTTTTGGAGATGTAGACAGACTAATAATAAAGGGATACTTAAACATGTGAATGAGTCCTTTACCATAAACAAAATAAGTAATGTAAAAGGCTGAATTCAAACAGTCTGGTAACCAATACTGATCCAGCTCTTTCAGTTCTGATAACAATTTCAATATTACAGCTGTTCTGTCTTTGTTGTATCTGCTGTTTGCTGTTGGGACAAAACATATTTTCCTGACAACAAAAACAGTTGTATGACAAAATGAGTTATGCAGCTGTTCTTTATCTCTAATGAGACTCTAATGACAAAACAGCTTTGTATTAAAAGCATCAAACATTCAGACTTTCTGAGAGACTACAGCGCTCTGTGTACCGTTCGTTCTTTTGACTTTCAATTAAGAACGAAAAACAATAAAATGGGAAAAACAGTTTGTTATTTCATTATTCCGTTTTATTGTAAAAAAAAAACTGATTTCAACCTCTTTTCCAATATTTAATTTAATGTTTATTTCAAATAGCACCAATCAAAAAAACGTCTTGGTGCCTATTCTAATTTTGATATTTTATTCTCTCTGGTTTATTTGCCCCGGCTGCTTAGAGAGAGTTTATCGCTGCTCCCTGTTTCTCATCAAGCAGTTCAGCAATTACTTTCTAAGACGAGAAAGTAAACGTGCCTCTATAAAAGAAGAGATGTCCTCTTCTTTTGTCCAAAAAATTGCAGCGATTTTTCAGGTACGTCCTCCTAGCAACAGAACTTCCTTGGCAAATAAACCAGAGAGAATAAAATAGAAAAATTAAAATAGTCACCAACACTCTTTTCTGATTGGAGTTCGATTGGAGTAAACTTTAAAGTAAATATCGGAAATAGAGATCAAAATCAGTTTTTCTGTTTGACACAAAAACAGAAAAGTGAAATAACAAACTGTTTTCCCATTTTATTGTTTTTCGTTCTTAATTGAAATTCAAAAGAACGAACGGTACACGGACCTACAGCCAATAAATTTATGTGTCCAACCGATATTTGGAAGTCGATATCCTAAATTTTCATGGATCTGCGTCGATCATCAGTACCAGTCTCGGTGCATCCCTCATGACCATGCCAAGCAAAAATCTGATGCAGTTGGTGACATAAGTACAAAAACTCTTCTTCTAACATTTGGAGCTATATTTACTGTTAGCCTTTACTCCCATATGCACTGTCTGTATCCCCTATAGAAGCACACACAGCTCTAAATACATCTAAAATCAATTGCTGCTTTCTTTTCTTCCGAGCAGCTTGTTTGTGGAGATGGTATGTGCACAGACGGAGAGAGGCTGGGGTCAGAGGGCTCACCATTGAAAAAGCAGCTCCAGTCTGGTCCTGTTATTCCTCTGCAATCTTTAAAAGCCCGGCTGATTTCACGCTGCGCTTGTGCTCATTTTTAGTCCTAACTACTTGATGAACATTTCTCAGTTTGATATCAGAAACTAGAGCTGGGTTCACACACTACATTGAATTAAACCAGGACTAAATCAGGACTAAATCAGGATTATAAAGGACTTGACCAAGATGAAAACAGTCCCAAAGACCAATATTAATGGGATAGTTCAGGTTTTTTGACATCAATCTGTGTGTCATCCCCGTCAGCAGTGTGGTGCATCCACACTGACTTTACCTCCGAAAGCGTCCGGTGAGATCCTGGCCCGTTTTGGTGCTGAGGAAAGTAGTTCGGCAAGTTGGCTGGGGACAGTCTAATAAAGCGTTTTTCTTCTCAAAACAATATGTGTTCAAAAGAGTGATACATTTGCACCACAAAACCTCCGTCCTCTAAAAAGTCAGACCTCATAATCGCTTGGCGCTATTTTCTGACAGACAGATTGATGTCAAAAAACCTGAACTATCCCTTTAAATGTTAAAAAGTAACTTGCTTGTGTAGATTTAGATGTGGACGATAATAGCTCAGCTGGTAGAGTGATTTGTCGTCCACTAATCCGAAGGTTGGTGGTACATACACGGCTCAGCTCTTTTAAAATTCACGAGGGAACTCATCCATGATTGGGGTGGCAGTGTTTCCCGCAACGATTTATAATTTGGGCAACCGCCTTGACAACGTTCCTCCAAACCACGTGAATCCTCGCAGAACTATGGTCGTTGTGCCCTAGTCCTCACTTTCGTCTTTCGCTGGCACAGAATCTCCATGCATTTTGTTCTTATACTGTACCGGAAATGAACTGAACCGTGTCCTCAAAACCGACTTTTCTGTGGAACATTCTACACAAACAGAAAACACTCTGTTCCTTGAAGGTGAAAAAGTTCTATATAAAAACTGAGGTCAAATAAGTCAGCTGTGTACCGCCTGCATGTAACGTTAAAGCATTTTATCCTCAGAGAATCAGGAAGTGTGCAGTTAGCATGCTAGTTATTGCTTTACTGTGATGTCAAAACTCCGCTCTGGTTTCTAAAAGTTGTGAAAAGCGCTTATAAAGTCATCAGTGTGAATAATTAGAATGATCTGAATAGATAAGGTAAGTGAGAAATAACTTTGGATCACTGCAAACTGTTTAAAATGAACTAGTTCTGTTTTTCACGTACAGTAAAAATATGTGATGGGCCGTTCTCTGCTGGCCTAAGAAAATATCTGAATCACAGACTGATGTTAATTATATTATTATTAAATAATTCCATATGGTCTGTCCGCTTCCTGTCAGAGCTTTTCCGATGGTTGTGCTGCTTGCAGACATGTATTCTCATATTTCAGCATTTGACCAATCACATTTCAGCTGTCATTTGTTGCCAGGTGGGGTCAAAGTCAACGAAGTGTCCTGAGGCCTTCACAATCCGTTCTGCAGGCCCTCAAACACAAAATACATGTTGATGAAACTGTGGCTTCAACCAATCAGATTTTGAGTTGGTGTCGCCAGGGCCTTCTAGCAGGCAACGTCACCGGATTCAGACCCGTTGATTGGACAGTCAGAGAGAGAATCAGCCAAAGCAGCAAACTGCAGCTGTAGCGGCTACGCAAATCTAAATGATTATTAATATGTATTACTATTATTAATACCAGTGGTGTAGTGGGGATTTTTTAAGTGGGGGTATGTGATTCATGACTGAACCAGGAGGACTGAACCAGGACCAAACCAGGACTACACTAGGTCCAAATCAGGACCAAACCAAGACAATCTTGGAGAGAGAACCCTGAGACCGTGGAGCAGGTGTTGGAAAAGCACGATTGGGCGACGGCTGTGTTTAGCTCCATGGGCCGTGAAGCTCTGCGCCAATCCTTTCTGCGATCACCAGACGTTCTATGCCCGTCCTGATACTCAGTCCTGGTCTAGTTCTGGTCCCATCCTGGTCCAGCCCTGTTCCAGTCCTGTCCCTGTCCCTGTCCCAGCCCAGTCCCCTCATGTCACAGGTCACTACAGGACAGTTCTGCAGATATCATGAGCCTATGCAGGTTGTTTTCACCATTGCCAGTAGCTCTGGTTTGACATTTAAGTTGTAGCTATTTTATATTTGTTATTTGCTTGTATCTCATGTCGGGAGAAGTGGGTGGAAGATGTACGGCTGTGTACCACACCCACTACACCCCTGATTGTGTTTACAGGAGTTATCTATCTGCAATGCAACAGCTCTTTATACTGTATTTCTGTATAATAAGATGCTTTTATAACCATAAAATAATTACTGAGCAGTGGATTGTTTCAGACGGAGCACTACTAAAGGCTTAGGTGTGAAATGCATGGTTCGCCACTGGTAAAAATCAGGTTGAGTGCCTTTAGTTTAGAGTTTTGGTTAAGGTTAGACAAGTAGTGACTATGGATAAACTACAATGTTTCATAGTGTGGCATTATCTTTCATTCAATTACAGGTGTTTTTAAGGCTCAAAAAATGATATGGAAATGAATGCAAGTCAATGTAATGTTCCCTCAAGTAAACATGGAAACCTAACTGTACCGTTTGTGTATGTGTTGCAGATCTTTAGGTGCACCGCCCGGCCGTGGAAGCTGCCCCGTGAGTGGACCTCTGCCCTTTGACCTCATCTACACAGACTACCACGGGCTCCGGCAGATGAAGAAGCACATGAGCCTCACACTCAAGAAGCACAAGTCAGTATCACACACACAAACACAATATACGCTACTATAAATAAAGTAAAAGTGTTAAAAAAAATCATGTGTGAATGAACCAAAACACAACTTCATGTATGTTTGTGATGAGGAATGAGCTCTTTCGTTCGATTTTGTGGCCCGCTCCAGGCAAATGATATAATCTCCATGGAAACAAGCAGTTGTCAGACCATCCACCTGAAAAGTTACATCATTTCAGTACAAATAAGCCTGGTTTGTTTTTAATTGAAACTCAAGTGTTTTTAGAACTATTGACACCGGCGCAGCTTCATGACCTGTTTATTTGATTTTCTTTGACAGAGCGTTCCCGGCTGCTCCTCTCTCTTCCGTTAGCTAATTGGATTTGTGATGAAAACTTATCCTTATTGACGTATTGACGGACAGCTTTGACACATGACCTGTAACTACTACTGAGAATCAGCAAATCGCTTTTTTGGGGAGAGTTCCAGTTTGGCATTTTTACAGCGATCTATAAAGCAGCTGCAGAATTTATAACAGCAGAAACAACTGACACCTATTTGAAATGTTTACAATTTGTTTTTCTTGCAGATGATGTACTCGATATTTGAACTTTGCTTATTTTCTTCCTCGAAATGATCTTTTTTCAGAAGATATATAATCTAGGGAATGTACTGATATGGATTTTTTTTTCTTTTTTGAGCTGATGTCTGATTTTTTTGCCTGCTGCTGTGACCTATATTTAGCTTTTAAAATCCATAGCAATGCCCATAAATGTATCTTCCAATCCACTTTATTTATATCGCACATTTCAGACATTTTCCAAAGTTGCTGTTCAAATACATAATAATAGCAATAATAATATAATCATAAAATAAACACTCAGATTTAATCATACTAGTCTGAAAACAATAAAACCAAATAAAATAAGAGCAAAAACCATAGAATAGCAATAAATAAATAAAACCAATACAATACATTAAAAATAAATTAAACCAGAGAATTAAAGTGGGACTTAAGACGAGACATAAAACACTCCACTGTGGGGGCTGTTGGGACGTGGGGGGGCAGAGCGTTCCAGAGTTTGGGTCTGGCTGCTTAGAAGGTCCTGTCCCACCTGGTTTTAAGTCTTGTCTTAGGCACCACGAGCTGGAACTGGCCCTCGGACCTCAAATTGCGCGCTGGGGTGTCAATTGAAGGAGGTCTGAGACGTACTGTGGGGCCAGTCCATTCAGAGCTTTAAAAACAAACAATAAAATCTTAAAGTCATTTCTAAAATTAACAGGAAGCCAGAGCAAAGACACAAGGATTGGGGTAATGTGCTCTCTTCTTAAACATCCATTTAAGTAGAGGAATGTTACGCAGTGCTTTGTTACGGACCAGTGCTAGGGACAAAGGAAGGTAACACAAACCAGATGTGATGTAATATAAGTGGTGTTTATAAAGTAAATATAAGTAAGTACAATAACAAAAACAAGGTGTTTTACAGTTGATAAATCAAAAATTCCAAATACAACTAAACAATACCTCTAATGGGATAAGTATAAATCAAAAGAAAATACAAATGCCCAAGGGCCAAGCCAAACTGGCAAATGGGTCCGGTTAAGCAGTAACAGAGGGAAACAGGGGTAGATTTTTTACATTCAAATAGCTCTTATTCAGAAACTAGAGGGACTATTGAAATAAGTAACGTATCAGAATGTAGGAAAGAGTTAACACACCAACAGGGTAAAGTTAAACACCTGTGATATTCTTTCAAGTTGTTGACAAAAAATTAAAAAACTCATGTCGGTAACGGAGGGAATGAAATATGCAGCACTTTTTGGGCAATAAATACAAACAGTGATAACTCTTGGTTCTCACTTACATATCCTTAACAAACTGGTTTGAATATTTGCTTCATATAGTTTTCTACCATATGGTACAAGATTAGGTTGAAAAACCTCTTACTTTTTGAGTAATGAGATTTTTTATTAAGAAAGGTCATGGTAACGGAGGGAAAAGTAACGGAGGGAAAATTGTGCAAACAAGTAGAAGGTGCATGATTTTGCATAATTTGTCAGCTTTTTTTCTTCCAAATACTTTAATATTACTTCAAAATGAAAGGTAACTATTTCTATAAAATATGTCATATGTCTTCCAAGCAAATTTTTATCATTTTAAATACTTTTTTTTTTTTGTGGAAAAATCGTGTACCTTCATCAACAGTTCAAAGATCGAATAACACAAGCTATGATGAAATACATCAATGTATTTACATGATTTGCAGATCTTTGAAATTTGGGAAATAATTTTTGTTCCATGTTTCATACATGGTCTGTTTAAAACGTTAGAACCAAAAATGGTACAGAAAAAAGGTAAACAGTTTCATAAACTAGAGTACATATGTATCTGTTCAATACATTTTTATATCAGATGCATTAACTTGAATTTTTGGCCTTGCTGTTTACTTCTGCTTGACCGGGCCCAAATACAAACAAACGATAGGTCAATACGACACAGCTAGCACTCATGCCTCACAGCAAGAAGGTTCCGGGTTCGATCCCCAGATCACCCTTTCTGTGTGGAGTTTGCATGTTTCTCCCCGTGTCTGGATGAATTTCCTCCAGGTGCTCTGGTTTCCCCCATCAACCCAAAACATGCTACACAGGTCTCCAAGAACAGTTGATAGTCAAGGTCAGTTAAATACAATCAATCAATGAACCTGCCCAGGGACGACAGGTGGAAATTAGCACTGATGCTACAACCTGATGTACAATGCGTCTCTCCTGTCGAGGTTGCATCTGTCCCTGTCTCAAAATAAATTAAATAAATAAATACTGACCCCTAGAGTTTCAACACAATTCACAGTAAACAAACACACGTCTATCAACGAGAGTGGCAAACTGAAACTGACATCCAGCCGCCAGGAGGGACAGGCACACAGCACTTTTATTGGATGAGGCGATGGGATGTGTAGGAAGGGGACTGGTAGGAGCAGGACGTCAATCCTCCAACCAGGCACAACAAACATCAGAGCCAACAGTGACAGGACCACATCCCACCAATCAGGCGCCAGGTACCACACAGTGTATGCAAATATGGAAGGTATAAGCGGTAAAACAAACAGGGAGCGCTGTGTGAGGTACAGCCGGGCCACGAGCCGTAACAGCATCTTAAACATGCACTGTGTAACATTTCTATTGTGAAAATCTTGTTACTGTATTGAAATTACCTATGACGAGGTAGATAAACATGTTACAGCATTACACTACAGTACAATTTAGATCTGTGGAGAGTCGCTCCTATTCACAAATGCTAGATGAATATGTTTAATGTCATACCATGTAATATTCCAGGCAAAGCAATAACATCTCCGTGGAGACAAGCAGGTAGCAGACCCAGAAAAGTTGCGCAGTGCACCTTTAAGTGTGTTAGCAGACGTGGAGTAGACTTACGGAATAGTTTAGACGACCATATCAAAGCATGTACTAATTTGGTGCACTTCAAAAAATATATAAAAATCAAATCTTACAGAAATACCTCGAAAAAGAAATATAATTGTCTTCACAGGTAAACCACAACTATTAACTAAATACATCCTTTTCTTTAACATTGTCTTTTGTTTTGATGCGATCGTAGACAATGAATTTTGTGCCTTGTTTGCCATTATAATTAGTTTGTGCGACCATAAATGAAAACAAAACAGGCATCTTTAAAAAATGAAGATAAGAACTTAAAAAAAGTGATTATGTTTCTGTTAGAGGGGATAGTATATGAAACAATCTGAGTGATGGTTTTAAAAAGTTCAACACTGTAGAAGCCTTTAAAAGAGAGTATAAAGCGTTATGTTTTGAAATATATAGAGCTCTGGAATGAATGAATGAATTATACATAAAATTTTGTTTGTTTTAATTTATATTTTGTCACTTATATATACAGTAAATCATAAGTGAAATTGTAAATTTGAATTTGCTGTTCATACGCTGCTTTTTTTCTTGGAATTCTGTCATCGTTTCATAGGGTTTGGCTTTATAAGTACTTTTTACTTCAGCCTAGACCCTTTTGGTCATGATCAATGAGGTTGTAGTCTATGTTTTGTTTTATTTTGTTTTGTAGTGCTGCAAAATGACCAAATAAAACTACTACTACGAAGTCGAATAGTAAAGATTCAAAATTCTGTAATCTGTAAATCTATAAAAATATCAGCAAAATGTATTTATCTGAGATGTAAAATATTGCTTTACATTGTTCTATTTGCACTTTGACTCATTAATCTTTTTTAAAATGATTGGTGTCAGATATCGTTCTCAAGTATCGATATCAGACAGTACCATTATTGCCAAATTTGCATCATTATCTGCCGATATCAATACTGTAACCGATATGTGACCCATCCCTAATATCATCCACCTGTAAATAGCTATGCCTTTTTGTAGTGTTGTGCAGTGAATTCAAATTTTAATCAAAATAGCAGAGCTTGACTGTAGCGCTTTTACCCTTCAGGTTCTTCAGTCAGTCACAAAGGAGTAAAAGCCTGGAGTTCGGAGGAGAGAGAGGGGTTCAGATTTTGGATGAATAAATTGGAATTGAAATGCCACTGACAATCTGCACGGAAATTTGAATTTGAATAATAAAAGAAAAAAGATAATTTGATTCAACTAGCGCACGTGAACAAAGCTGATTCAACCGGAGCAAAGGTGTCCAAAAAGGTCCGCACATGGTTATGATGCATCACTGTTTATTTAAAAGCTTTTTCATTTCTTGGTTTACATGACCCAATATTTAATACAGATGAGTGAAAGCTGAAATGAAAATTGCTTTAAAAAAAAGTTCTTCGGTGTCTAGTCCCTAATAGAAATGATAAGGTTGCGTTTTGAATATTTCATTGGAAAGTATAATGTAATCAATAGGAAAAAGTGGATCTTGCCCCCATACCAGCTGAAGTTATAGTGGTAGAATTACTTCACTTTGCAGTAATAATAATTAGTCTGAAGGCTCCATTTGGCCCCTGGAAACATGATTCAGCAAGTTGACTTGGA